ATGGTCGTTTATCTTGCTGATTGCTTAGCGTGGGGAACTAATTGTTGTGTGGTTCCCATCATCATACGAGTTGTGCTGGAAAAATGCTGCCCGACAGACCCTTGGGATATACCGGAACTGAGGTAACTTTTCTAAGGTCATCCGAGGATTCTGCTACCGGGGAAGCCATAATATGCACTTGCGTCTTCAGACTTCGTCGCGTGGAGTTGGGGGTTTAGGGTGCAAGTTTGGGTTTTTGTGGATCATGAGGGACATCAAGGTTACCACTATTCAGGGAATTCAAGTGGTGCGCGTGGGGGATTCCTCATGGTAGTTAAATGTAGGCCGTAATCTTGCCTTGAACGCCCTAAATAGTAGTTTCCGTTTTATTTTCCATCATCCCAAAATAATTCCAATATACTACTAGTAGTTTCCAATCAGATCAAAGCTGCGGTCCCCCTGGGCTATCTAATCTTACTGCTCAAGATACATCTGGAGGAGCTCCTAACTTCCCCAGAAAGAGTTTAGCATCCTAAAAGCCCCACAACCGCAACCCTGAAATCCTACCCTAGATCCTAAACCCCAAGCCCTAAACCCATCCAAACCCTAAACCCGAAACCCTCAACCCCTAAACCCCAAGTCCTAAACCCCAAACCCTAAACCTTAAACCCCAAACCCTGAACCCTAAACCCTAGACCCCAAACCCTAAACAGTAAACCCTAAAGTCCAAAGCGTGAAGCCCAAGTCTCCAAGTCTTCTCACGTATCGAATCCATTGAAAGCGATCGAGAAAGCGGGGTTAAGGGTTCAGGGTTTACTGTTTATGGTTTAGGGGTTAGATTAGGGTCAAGGGTTTAGAGTGTAGTTCGCTCTTGGTGCCCAGGACCAGACCCGTGAAGATCCTCGAGGCCTCATCCTAGAGACATTAAGGGTTTAGGGTTTAGGGTCTAAATTGCTGAGAGTGGGATGATATTTGGGATTGTAGGAAGTATTATAGGAGTTCTTGAGGGAGATACTGGGAGTTTAGATTATGGCTCATATATCCGAACAGCAAATTCCTTTCCGCAACCAAGTCCTAGGCGGATTAAGGAAGTTTGTCTTGGATCCTGAAGCAGAGTTTTCCTTATCCGGAACCCTCAACCCTAAACCCAAACCTTAAGCCCTAAACCTTAAACCCCTAAACCCTAAACCCCAAACCCCTAAACCCTTTGATCGACGCTGAGACGTCGAAGGAAAGTCTTTCAAGGCTTGTTGCTTGTCTTCGGCTTTGCAGCCCGAACACGTCGACGCTGTGATGCTTGCACATAAGCCATAATCTAAATTCCTTAAAGGGGGGTTATATAGGGGGTTATATAGGGTTTAGGCTTTAGGGCTTAAGGTTTAGGATCTAAATTCCTTAAAGGAGGTTGTAGACCATGGATTACATAGGGGACTACTGTAGGGCTTATCAAGGAGGATACTAGAAGTCTAGACTATGGCTCATATACCCTGCAACAGCTTGAATGCAGAGCCACGTCGGAAACCTAGTGGCTCACTCCTTCAACCTTAGCCCCACCGCACGGCCTGGTTCTCGGATCTCTTTCCTCAGGAAATGCCACGGCCCTGAACGCTCGGATCAGAGTTACAAGTCTTAGCCGAGACAAGTATAATCTAGACTTTGATTGCTAGAAGATCTAGACGTTTAGCCCTAATTCCACTCCATACTGCAACCTACACGTTTTGTGCTAGGAATCGTCGGGGAGGTCGCGACCGTACTCATTCTGTTATTGTCAGGTCTACACTGAGCGTCTTAAAGCCTGAAACTTTGAGACTTGCATCACGAGATGTCGAAGGCCTCAGTCCTATCACATCCACATATCGTAGTGGCCTGAATAGTTGCTGGTAGCATTCCTTCACACTTCTTTTGCAACTGCAATATAGCATAGCCGAGAACCTTCTTGTATGCCCCTACACGAGTCCTTATTATTCCCGGTTATATAGATCTTTCATATACGGCTTGTCTTCATCACAACCGCTAGAAATCCAAACCCAGCCCCTGCAAGCATTCAAAACAGCAGCGGCAATCCTCATGCTCGTGAAGCATTTGCCATAAGAACTTGTTCATGCTAGGTTGGGAATGAGGGAGCCTGTAAAAGGATTTGGGTAATCCCAAATCCCCAAATTAGGACCCTAGGATTATCATATGATGGTTAGAGGGTTCCTAATTTTGGGGGTTGGGGTTACCAGAATCCCCTTATCAGGAACCCTCAACCCTCCAACGCAGTCACCATCGTAACTGGTAGAATCGTCCCTTTCATCCGGTCTGCTGTTCCCAGAGGAGCATGAGTAAGCTCACGTCTGAGCCCTAAGCCCTGAACCATGAATCTTGCACTTTAGACATAAAGTTTGTCTTCGGTAGGAGAAACAAAGTAATATCCAGATAGTATCCTATAGTCCCTTCTAACTATTATTACAGACAACACTAATGTTTGGTAATACACCTACCTTGCAGCTAAGCCCCAAACCCTAAAGTCCTGTGTCAGCGTGGTTTCCGTTTTCTTGTGCCTTCTGCTGTCCGTTTGATTCTCCACCATAGGGGTAATGTGCCTTAGAGCCTTTAGAACCCACACGAGGGAATTTGGGTTACCCAACCCTGCAAGCATGGACCTTACCAGAGTCAAATACACGGGGCTTCGCTTTAGGGTTTACGGTTTAGGCAGCCTATTTCATGGGTTTGGGGTAAGCAGAAGCCCCTCATTGAATTTTCCATCTAACCGATGCGAGCAGGTGTCCCATCGACTGCCTGGCAGGCAAACTGCCTTTGAAGCAGTAGCCCGGGACGCGGCATCTGGGTTTCAGGGTTTAGGGCTTAGGCTAGGGGATCAGGGTTTCGCGATGATTTAGGACTTTGGGTTTCGGGGTTAGGTTTTAGGGTTAGGGCCGTTGTCACCCGAAACCCCAGGGTAACATGAAACCCAATCAGAGGCCGTTACCTTTTAAAACGCACCCTTCCTGGTTGTTGAAGAAAAGGATTTAATGGGAAAGACGATGGAAGCTGCTAATTACATTGTTCAGGGATGAGAGTGGTGTATGCCTTTCGAATAAGGGTAGTTTGGTCATTGCAGCCCGCTCCTGGAACTGTCATGTGATTGTGAATATGACCATGAGAGGGTCCTAACCTTTGTTTGTTGGAGTTGCCCATATCCTCTTCTATCAGGCTGGGACGTGTACAACGGTATTGTTGCTGTTTGCTGCTACCTTGAAAACGGGACACATATCTGCCATCCGTACTTCCTCAGTATGCAGACTCCTCGGGTTTCTTAGATCTAGTAGTGGTCTTCATGAGCCCCTTTTCACGTTCCTTGTTATTTTTCTCAAGGGCGGCAGGTCTGGCAAGGTCAGTGCAGCCTGACCATAGAAGCCTGAATGGCTATCAACACTGCCCCTTGACAACATTTTGAATGTTTGTGCTCATGGATACCCCCCCCACAACCCCTTGTCTAGATTTAGACCCTGACATTGCCACTTACAAGATGCACGTGCTCGTCGGAGAGTCCTCACAGCTGGAGCCATATGAGCCATAACCTAAACTCCTTAATGGGGGTTATATAAGGGATTGTATAGGGGACTACCATAGGGATTATTAAGGGGGATACTAGGAGTTTAGACTATAGCTCATAAAGAAAATCTCAAGACCTCCTAGGTCGCGTGAGGGCCTCTCTTTTCTTGAAAACCTCCTAAACCCTAAACCCTATCTGATTCTTAATCCTGAGACCCGAAACAGAAGTGCTTTCAGAAGCTTCTGTCTTTGTGTATCAGAGCGAGATTCTCGTTCTTAGACACCCTACAGGATCCAAAACAAGGGACCCCGTAACAACCCCCAGTTTCCCCAATGCAGTAATGGGTTCATTGTGGGCAGTTCCGTTTTTTGGGATCCTTTGGGGTCTGGGTTTTTGTCGTCTTTAAGGAGATGGCAAAACTGACTCCTCCTTCTCAGCAACGCTGCGCACTCCATATCCAAAATCCCAAAATCATTGAAGCCTGAAGCTCAAGTTCCATAAGCCCTAAACCCTAAAAACTCTAATGCCCAGGAGTCCTGTTTGAAGCTGGGTTGGATCGGCAGTATAGACAGGCCCTTAACAAATGGACCATCGTTTGGATAATGCCCGATGTCCAATGCCAAAGGCCCTTGGTGGGTACGATTGCATCACAGAGATCCCGCCTTCTAAGTGGGACGTCGATGCGTGCGCTTCCCAGTGGTTTTAGACGTACGCCATCGATGGCCCCGATCTTTTTAACGAAGAACTACGGGTCATGTTGAGATATGGCAGTACAAAAGCACAAAACAGCAAGATGATTAGCATGGCGGCCCCAAATAGGGGACGCCCCGATTCCGTGCCTCAAGAGGCTTTTCATGAAGATTTAAGATTAGGAGAGTGGTGGTTTTAATATCAGGGGAGGGGATTAATCCGCACGAAGAGCCTCTGTGACCTGTGTCCCAGGATTCCCTGACGTTTCTGAACGGCTTGGGGCTTCAGGTTTAGGCGTTGGGGTTGGGAGTTTTAAGGTGTTCCGATTGCGGGAAAAGGAGTTCAGACTCAGGGGTTGGAGGTTCCGAGGTTTAAAGGTTCAGAGTTCAGGTTTTGGGGTTTTGGAGGAGGTTAGTAGGGGTCTTCGGGTTCTCCGTACAAATCAAGGCTTGCTACAGGCACCTGGATTGTCCAAATTTCCCTGAGCTCTGACCCCGAAAGAGTTTGTTCAGCATAGTATTTGACGTATTTTGCAATGTGACTTAGTATAATACACCACAGCGTGAACATTCAATATTAGAGGGGTGCGGGGCTGTTAATAGTAGGGGGAGGGGATCATAAACGGACAGCTGTAGGGATTCACTGCCCCCATTTCCCTACCCACCGCCTCCCCTAAACCCTAAACCCTAAACCCTAAACCCTAAACCCCAAACCCTAACTTACTTTATCCGCAGGGACAGGACACTTTTGAAGCTCAAAGCGTGGGCCCTTATCCGCGGCTTCTGGGTGTGAGATGACCTGCGCAGAGGAGGAGCAGCTAAACAGGATGCTTCGGCCAATTAAAGGAATTTAGGGGTTTTGGTTTTGGGTTTAGGGCTTGGGGGT